TATAATTCAATATTCTGTGGTATTAGCCAGGAAAATACAGTTTTTTGTTTTTTCAATCGACTCGGCCGGATGGCTCGCCGGATGGAAATCCATAATAAATGTGAAAACTTCACAAACGATAAGATTTCAACAAAATTCTAAATTGCTCGACATAACACAGTAGCTTCTTCAGGTGGAATAAACTGGATAGGGAAATAGCTGTTTTCAGTTAGATAGTTCATTTCTCATTCATCAAAAAAATTATTCCCAACAATCCCAACCACGTAACCATTTGATCTATGGAAATCATCAGTGATTATAGATTTCATGAGAACGATTTACAATATGACGCAGAATTGCGTGTATTATGATATCGACACATCACATTCCAATGAGATTGGAGATGATACAGAAATCGAGATATGGAATTTCGTTCAACATATATTATGGGCAAAACATTCTTTTCATTTTCACCAAGTTTCTACCTAAACTAGCTACTGGACAATATACTGATAGGATATTGAAGGCTGAAGCTGAAGCGATAGTCACCTGTACTATGGTGGTCAGTATTCAGCTAGAGCTGTATCTTATCATTTCATATTCAGTGAGTGAGCAACCAGAGATAGCGATTATTTCCTTATCATCATCCTTTTGCTGTTCATAAATCTTTGGCTGGAGTTGTTTACCCATTTTTAGTGACTGTTCCACGCTTTCGCCTTTTGCCATGTAGAAAATTGGTTCATTTTGATCCTTTTGCACGCTGATTGCCTACTATTTCTTTGTGGCATGCAGTAAACAATCACCTGATCCATTTTCGATGGAGCACTCATGCCTAATAATCCAAAAAATGCATTCATTATTGAATCTAATGTTGTACTCAAATTGAAAATATATTCTTGTGGAAATTTCACACCTAACATTTTTGACCAAATAAAACCCTGTATTTTGTATCGTTACCATAGCAACTGAACACATTTCTGGAAATTTTGTCCCCCTCCTTGGGGGAAGAAGCATTAAATTACACTGGAAATTTGTTCACGTTTATAGGTGAAGTGACATTTACATTCAGATAACGTCAAAATCGTTCTATAATTTGATAAGTTCCTTGTGAGAAAGTTCATTTCTACCAACTTCAGCTTAATGAATTGGTAAAGAACTGAGATAGCGAGCTACTATCGACTCATTTTTTATTATTTCATTTAAGTGAAGTCGTTGAATCATCTTTTATATACAACTGTCAAGTAATTATTTTGATTTGGACTTTTTCGAAGCTCATTATGACGGTATTTACCGCACTAGTTCTTTTTTGAATCTATTACCCCACTAGTGCGGTATAATGAGATAAGAAATAAATGTCAACCAAATGAATAGCTCATTGAATGGTAACAAAGAAAATTCAGATTACACTTCTTGTTGTCTCTTTTTCGGATTTGACAATCAAATTCAACATCTGTGAACGGCTTTGTTTAAACCTACCGTTGCTTCGGTTACACAAATGATCACAAGCAACTTGTGTTTTCAATTATCTGGAAAATGTCATGGGTAGGTACGTCGAAAAGGAATATCAATATGAGGTACATTGACATTAAGAAAACTAAAAATTAAAAAGATACCTGTTATATTAATCATTTGTCCACGACTCTTGTGCTTCCTCAAGCAAAACGATAGCCATTTTTCACACCAGTGAATAATAGCGATAAATAACCATTATTCACTGGTCTACAGTTCCTTATATGTTATATCGCGTACCCTAGGAACTCTAGACCAGTGAATTATGGTTATTCACTGCTATTAATCACTGGTGTGAAAAATGGCTACCGTCCTGCTTGAGAAAGTATGTATTATGAATATTTTATACAACAGTGGATAAAGATTATTATTCTCATTCATTAGGTTATCATTGAATCTTGTTGAAGCAGGTTTACAGCAGTAAACAATAGTTGAAGTGAATTGAGAACAAGGTGACCTTGGGTTTTTTTGTGCCCATTGCAATTTTCGAATAATAGTTTAATTGGGTGAACTTCATACTATAATTTACTTTCCACTCAGAATATTGATATATGGAAATAGGTCGAGTATACTCTAGATGATGATGAATTACTTTTATATTACGGGGTGTTTCGACATTCGACTGAGAACGTTTGACAGGTGATAGCCCTCGTGATCAAATAATCAAAAGGAATCGGATCATATGGTCTTCCATTGTTCAGTTTTCGAGATACAGGGTGGTGAAGTAAAAGTAATGAAAATTGGTTCAGATAGTCTTTCCGGAAATTACATACAGTGGTATGCTGGGAGGAATTGTGGTAACTTCATTGATGAGACTGATGAGATTTCGTTTATTTTCCATTTCTCGACTTCATTGTTCAATTTTGTTAGATAAATGCATCACGCTCAACTATAAAATGACAAGCCCGTATGTATACTCCTCCTTGACCATCAAACCAAAGCGATGCTCGTGATCGAGTTTTCTGCGCTAGCCGAACTGAACACCGTTTTGAAGGAGGAGGGGAAACGGACTAAATATCCAGATCTTCTCTTCGAACTCCGCAGGCTCTATCCAGACCATTTTGTGGAATTGGTCATCCTGATGATCGGCTCCCTAGGAGGCACACGACACACGCTGCTTTCGGACATCCAGAAAAATCCCAGCGTGCAGCGATTAGGCACACATCCTGGCTAGTGGAATGCAGAAGGCTGTCATACTTGGATCATTGCGTTTACTCAGGGCACACGGTTCTTGGTCCCAGTAATTATTCACCCCACAGGCTGTGGGGAGTGGTCACTGGATTTTATCCAGCACGACTCTGCGGGGCGTCGGAGGCCGCACATGATCGAAGGAACGGCGTGGTGTTAGGTGGGCATGATGTGAAACATACCCTCTACTTTTCAACTTAATCGTGATTGATTCAAAACAAATAAATTACTTCAACACCCTATGTTGAGAACTGAACACTTGAAAACTATAGTTATTACTGTCGGTCGTATTTCGAACCTGATTCGAGAAGGATAGCTGATGATCATTTACAGGAATAATATTTAATTGTGCAGATTCATGGCGATGAACATAAGAGAAAGTGATGAGAGGTAGAAGTAAAATATGTTAGGTTAATCATTGGATGAAGACTATAACAGGACTATTCGAAATCTATTTTATTTGTTCTTCATGACGATACCTGATTTTGAGATACATGACTAATATTGAATCATCAGAAAAAATCGTCAAGGTTCTGATCACACAATGGAAGTTATTCAATGGCAAATAAATACATATTGCCAATTATGCAATGGAGAAACCCGAAAAAAATCGTTAAATAAAAGGCTATTAACTTGATATTCTATTCAATAAAACCAGACTATAGAGAAGATAATCTCGCACTTGAAAATATCTCAATTTTGAATTAGTTCCGGTATAACAATGCCAATCAAGAATGGGATGCAGAAAAAATTGCCGTGATATTTTTAATTGCATATTCATAGGAATATTCAGGGTCGTACGAAATAAATGTATATGAAGGGTGGATACAGTTTTTTGATTATTATAACCCTGATGGAAAACAATCGGTTGAGGATTATTTGGAGGGCGTTTGAATTTCGTATACATCAGAGTCAATCCATCATAATAACATAGGTATCAAGGCGAATGCATACACTATAAGATATAAACGATAATTACGATCAACTTATCATATAGATTATTATTACTTTCTTGACCTCCCTCTACTGTCGATGGTAGGTTCAGTTCTTGAACCATGATTTTGGGAGGAAACACCATCCACATTTTGATTGACACAAATGAACTCGAATTGAAACATTTGATGTTTTTTTTTCTTATTCCGTTGGAACTGATCTTTTCTACAAGTATAAAAACTCGAATAGGTATAATCAATGACTTTTTTATTCTGTTCCGAGTTTTGTTATATTGCAGAAATGTTTGCCCTTGTACTAAATAATGTCATATCATCGATACAATTCATTTCTCCACAGAATATATATCCAAAGAACATTATTTCTACTCCATATCAACGATTTGTTGAAAGCAACTTCATGACCAGAACACAGCTTCGCGGATGATAGTACCCCCCATACCGCCTTCTCTTCCAGGGCTCCAATACCAGCCAGGAAAATCAGAAACGAACGAGGAAGAAATGTTGATAACATAAATATGGACTTGACATCAATTCACGAATGGGGATCCAAGAACTTGGTAGATTTTAATGCAAACAAAACACAAGCATGCCTTTTCCCTAGAAAAGCCGATCTCTCATATGCCTAACATAAGCTTCTCAGGAGTAACCATACCTTTGGAGACATCAATTTCGATGCTTGGTATTACTATCAGCAATAACCTTTCTTGGGAAAATCACGTGAGATCAATTGCTAAAAGTGCATCCCAAAAACTTGGTTTTCTGTTTCGGGCCAGAAGCTATTTTCACTTCCAGTCAGCTGCTTTATGATCTCTCAGGCACAGATCCGACCTGTCCTAGAATACTGTTTCCATATTTGGAGTGCAGCACCCGAACATACCCTGAAACTGTTAGATTCTGTTGAAAAAAGGGCAATTCGTCTCGTGGGTGATGCCTTGCTCACAAACTCACTCACTTCTCTGGAACACCGTAGGAAAGTTAGCGATTTGGCTCTATTTTATAGATATTTTCATGGACGATGCTCTTCTGAAATATCAACAATTGCTCCTCCCTTGGCAGTCCCCGCGAGATTAACCCGTCGAGTTGAGGCTGCGCTCCCCTTCGTGGTCACTTTGGAGACCTGCAGAACATCTCTTTCCTAAGACTCGTTCATCCAACGAACAGCGAGGCCCTGGAATACATTGTCAAAATAGGTGTTCCCGGAGGCATATAACCCCCAGAAATTCAAGAAGAACACCAATTCCTACCTTATTTTTCTTGGTTCTCACGATGTTCTATGAATATTACTGGATATATCTTTTTGTGGTAACCAGAACTCAAGAAATATATGCTATAGACGGTAGAATAATCTTCTAAGAATGTTTTATTTTGCAGGTGGTGTCCCTGGCATTATACGTCTATTTCTTCGCAGCTCTCTTAGGACGACAATTTGTACCATACGCAGCAGCAGGATCACAGAACAAATTCGAATCTCCCGATATGTATTTTCCTTTTTTCACCTCTTTGCAGGTAAGTTCCGAAGTTCCCAACTTTCCTAGGGAATAAAATTGGTATATTATTGCTTTTTTCATTATGTATATTTACCTGATGTCTACAATCTCTCAACTCAACCTATTCAAATAATAAAGCTATGGTAGCACCTTAGCCGGGTTACAAACCAGAATCATGGAATGATACGAAATCATAAATATTCAATTCCAAAAACCTGAGTTCGTTTCAAGAACTTCCAGTTTTGACAATAATGGAACGATTCATTGAATGCAAACTCCAATGAGCGAGTCAGCTATGTTAATGGTCAAAATGGCGCCCTGCTACGAAAAATTGAAAGAATTATTTTTCACGGAATTCAACATTCTCTGAAATTATTCGTATGTTAATGGTTCTTCACGACCTCTCAATTTCTATGAGCAATGTTGAGATAGCTTGATGGAATTGTATTCACACCACCATCATCATCATCATCATCGGATAATTTAATTTCATCAGTATATTTTAACAAACCTCACCAGCTCCATTTGTATTGAAGATGAGGAAATTATTATACCAATATCTTTCAATTGAATGGATAGGTTTAGGACGTAGAGGATCGATTGAATGGCCAGCTTGCTCAGCCAACTTGGCACCCAGTGATTGATTTGCGGTCGTTTCAAATCCATGGTTTACACTGTGGAGACTTTGACTGGAATACATTCTTTAGCAAGGAATTGGATATTTTTTCGGAAATTCACGACAAACGTCAACGATTTAATGTATTCACCTCGAGGGGTAAGTACATGGGGCAATCCGGTGTACAACTTGGGGGTATTGCGTGGTAAGCGAGGCAGTGTGGGGCATTGCGGGGCAATGTGAGGCATTGTCGGGCACTGCAGGGTATTGATAGGCATTGCAAGGTATTATGAGGCATTGTTAGACAATGCGGGGTATTGAAACAGCACTAAAAGGGCAATGTGGAGCAATGTTTGGGCTCAATTTGTTGCGCGCGCATCCGTTTTTGTTCGAGGTCACTATATGCAGTTCTATGGTTCAAGGTGATGCCTCCGTCTCCATTTTGATTGCGCCATTCAAGCGTTTCGCATCGCGTCATGCTGTCATCAACTCCGGCTACAGCTATTGCTTTGGATTGGATTGGAATTGGATTTAACCGACTATTCGAGTAAAAACTACGATATAGATGAGAAAAGTCCATATGTGAAAGTCTCTTTGTAAAATAATAATATGATTATAATAAAAATATCATCATTATGCTGGCTTCTGAATGAGGGGTAGGGACGGATCAGTAACGATCGCTTACAGCGTTTCAATTCTATATCCTAGATCTATCCAAAAAAGAAAGTCGGAAATACCTGTTGACAATTCAATAACTAAGAAAATTGAATTTATCGGAGATTCTTCAGAAGAAGAAAATGAACCAGATATTGTTTCAGACGATTCCACAGATGAGGAGTCATTCTACACTTTGGGCGGAAATCGAGAAGAAGATAGGATGATGAAAAAACTTGACGTTTTCGATCCTGAAATAGATATTTCTATGCAGTGGTATTGGATAAAAACTGGTATCTGGAACTGGTATTGAAAAAAAAACCAAGACAGATTTGGAATTAGGTTTTTAGGAAACATTTCGACAAGTGGCCAGAAAATTCTGAAATTGAAAATTCCATACCAAAAGAATGTATTTTTTACGGACCACTTGTATACTTGGGGAAAATTCTCCGTTTCTCCTGAAAAGAGCGGATGACGTGAACATTTCCAATCTTCATTTGGAGTCGAGAAAAAATTTTGAATTTTAAAAACATACTCAAGTTGACTAATGTGATATCCAGTGAGATATGCTTTAACAAAATATATATTCAGGTTCAAGCTGTTTTTGGTTCAAGAAAATCTTAACTCCGTTTTAGTTTTGAAAAACTTCACTGTTTCAAGAAAGAACTCAGAGTTTGCATTTTTTAAATGACTATAAACTTGAAAAAATGTTTAATTTTAGTCGAGATTTTAGTAATGTTACCTATAATATCTGGACTTATATGCCTAGTGTTCCTGTTACCGAACTATAATCCCTGAATTATTGTGATACTGTCTAAAGAAGTACCTCTAGGAATAACTACTTAGTCATTAAGTATGGGAGAAAAAAATGTTCGTCCTATGTTTGTTTTATGTTCGACTGCTTGTTATGACGTGTGGTTTCTTACAAGAATATGTACAACTATTAATTATTCCTCGTCCCATCAGATGATTTATTCACTAAGACATTAGAATGAATTTGAACTATGTTAAAGACATAAGGCAGTTTCCACATTTCAATATAATCTGCCTCTCTTCAACACATGGAATGAAAAGAGATAGTATAATAGTGCACTAGGGGCATTGTTGGGCATTGGGGGGCATTGTTGGGCATTGCGGGGCAATGTTGGGAATTGAAGGGCAATGTTGGGCAATGCGGGGTATTGTTGACTGAAAAATGGGCATTGCAGGGTAATTTCGGTGAATTGGGGCATTCATTACCCCCTGGTGTACAAAAAATAGCTAAGTACTTACCCCTCGATTCACCTGCTTTCTGCAAGCAAGATCGAGAATATATCCCTCTAACCTTATGGCTTGTGACCATTCATTAGAAAGAGGAATTCAGCCTACTAGTCAAATTTTAGTTTTTCATACGTTTGAAGGTTGCATAAAATTGAAATGTATTTTGAAATTGATTTTTTTTTCAACGTATCAATCGCTCAAAATGTGTGTTGAACAATTGATGGCAATTATTAGCTGCAACTGCTATCTGATGTTGTATTCCTGTGTTTTTATAGAGCCGCAAAAATAAATTCAGTCAACTACGAAATAATGGTAGATTTCGGGAGAAAAACAACTACTTTTCTGGCTGATGACACGAAGAACATTGAATTATATCCTCCCGAAATCTATGCATCGACTAGTATAAACGAATACTGATACAAGTGCATCTTTCCTGAATGCCTATTGATCTCGTTTTAGCCAAGCCACGCTTGACACCTACCATTGTTGTTCATTTTATGAACATTGTGTGGATATGACCTAGAGCTTTTCGTATTTATGTAACATTTCATTTCACTTTGAGCATTGTGGCTGTTTCGTAGTTGAAATTACGCCGGTCGGGTAAATAACCACTCTTGTATGGGAATTTCAGTCTCGGAGTGTTTCATTCCTTCGTTTCTACTCATATGACGTTGCTTCCATATTGTCTATGAAGGACGCCTCTGGGGCAATATAATGCCGACTTGATTTTTGTTTGGCTAGGCTACGCCTAGTCGGCGGTCTTAGGGACTGCTGGCTGGAGACTGCCCTGCACCGATGACAGTGATGGAGCTCGAAACCGGTATGTAGGTGTCCAGCGTGGCCTGGCTGAATCAAAATCAATAGGCATCCTGGAAAGATTCACTTGTATCAGTATTCGTTTATACAAGTCGATGCATAGATTTCGGGAGTATGTAATTCAATGTTCTTCGTGGCATCAGCCAGGAATGTATTTCTTTTTCATCCGAAATCTACCATTGTTGTTCATTTTATGAACATTGTGTGGGTATGAGTTGTTTGTATTAATTTAACAAATTTAGTGTTTTTGCTGTATTCACAGTATTCGAAACGAAGTGTTATTGCAAACTGGTGGAAATGCCCAATATCACTGTCACTGAAAGTCGAAATTTCGATGAAAATATGTTGAGAATATATCAAACTTCGAAATCATATTTTGATTTTATGAAACCCCCAAACTTACTGCGAACTGAAATATGATCAGTACGCTGGATTCCTCTTCCAACCAACTTTCCACTGAGGAGTCGCAAGCCATAGGGTTGCATTTGAGAAGAACATGTTGGGGTAGATTCCTGCTACCCCTGAAGGATTTTATTCTCCATATTGCTCACCAAATGTTGGCAAATACATGTAAACATTGACGTGTCTCCGAATTTTCAGAAAATTAATCCACTCCCCCAGTGAAGAATTTATTCCACTTGAAGGGGAATAATGTTGTTTGAATACCAGATAATCAGTATAGAAATAACATCAAAGTGAGAGAAAAATCAACAATTTGACTCAACCACTGTCTGATAGTCATAGGTATATGAGGTAATTTAGAACAAACTTGTGTATACACCGTGTCCCAGCTAAAATGTCCCCCCCTGTAAAGAATCAACCAAGCTATAGAATGACTTGAAATTCGGTCACCCAGTATATTTGATAATGCTCACTCGAAATGTGCTATTGAATGAATCGTAGGTATACAGGGTCACACCGAACTGCACCTAAACTTTTCTATTTGAATAGGGACACCCAGTATATTATTCCATATTCAAGTAGAGTTCATTATTACAAATTCAACAATGCCGGGTTTGATGGGATTTTTTCAAAAGACTACGAAGATATGACAAAAAATAAAACGATTCAATAAAAATGTATATATGATTATATTTTATTAATATAACATGATTGAAATCAAATGAAAAGAAAATAATTGAAACCTTAACTGCTCAATATGTCTTTCATTCTGCTGCAAACATTTCCTAGCTCTTTTGATAACGTTCATCATTGTGACCATATGTATCACGTTGCGATCAATTTGTGCGTATAAATTTTGTGATTTTCTCTTTCATTTCTTCCATATTCACAATTGGTGACTCATGAACCTGTTGTTTCAAGTAGCCCCACAAATAAAAATCAAGCGGGGTGAGGTCTGGCGACCGAGCTGGCCAGTTGCTATCACCATCGAGACAATTGGTGGTTATTAGATTTTGATTATTCTCTGTTCATTCGATTTCAATCGTGTTATATTGATAATATCTAGTCAAATAAATTTCTTATCGAAAAGTTTTATTTTTTGCCATGGCATTGTTGAATTTGTAATAATGTACTCTAATTGAATATGGAATAATATACTGGGTGTCCCTATTCAAATAAGAAAGTTGAGGTGCAACTCGGTGTGACCCTGTATACCTACGATTTATTCAATAGCATATTTCGAGTGAGCATCATCAAATATACTGGGTGACTAAATTTCATGTCATTCGATCGCGCGGTTGATTTTTTACAGGAGGGGACATTTTAGCTGGGACACGGTGTATATTTGAGATAATATTCATTTTGTTCATCTACTTATTCACAAAGAAAATGAATGTAACAGTTGTACCCAAATATTTCAGTGACGCTTTGTACAAACAACTTCACGCTGTTGGTGTCAGAATTAAATGGCCTTCTGAATGATATTTTATGATACAACTTTCATTCCGTATTGAAATTTTGAAGTGGGTTGCTCTGAGTAGTAGGAGGTTGAAATATGTAACACTTCTTAGACGTCAAACGGTTTCCCATTGAATAATTTTCTCAGGAGTTAATCAGGATAAATATTCTAAAGTGTACACCTATTGTGTCTAGAGTCATAAGTTATGAATCATAAAATTTTTGTATGGCTGTATATCATTCCTCAAGGTTCCTTCTGACACAAAACTTCGCGATTTAGAACTTTTGATACATATTATCTTCAAGGTTCTATAATCATTCAATTCATTGATTCATTGAGAGGTTGAAGTTATTAAAAAAATTGATGGCCCATCAATATTCTTTGTATGTACGCGAATTTTTCATCTAGGTACGCAGTTGCAAATTTTATATTTTCGTTTTTATATGTCACATACTTAGTCCACCTTTTTTGTTTTTATATGTCACACAATCAGTCCACTATAATTAAAGAGGTACTTAGGTATCGTGTCACGTTCGTTCAATATTGAATTAGCATAACTATTCAAACTGGATATTATTAAAAAAAATCCGTTATACAATCATATCAAACTAACTTCGATCCAATTAATTCGATCGATATCAGTATCAAATAGCTAATTAATTCCACTGATTTTTAGTTCTGCTTCTACATTGGATGGCTCAAAGTGGCCGAAGTTTTGATCAATCCCTTCGGCGAGGATGACGATGACATCGAACTCAACTGGCTCATTGATCGACACATCAAGGTGAGAGGATAAATACGTGATTGGCATTGAGAGAGATCAGTTCTTAATGGCGTTAGATACATCGAAAGAATTCGACAGTGTCTGGCAACACAAACTATTATCAGCTATATACAAGGTGCCCGTTTTTCGAGCTCCACCATGGAGATCTCAGTTAATCGATGTAACATTTTTTTTTATTTATTTTTTACTTTTTTCTATCTTTCTTATATATATATATATAAGTACCATTTGAACATTTCATTATATTGCTGTCATTGTACACATGAAAAATCTATTGTAGTAGCCCCTGAAGATGGAAATATACATTTCCGAAAGCTCGGACAAACTGAGATGAGTTCACCTTCACTTTGCCGTAATTCCCACTAGCAAGCTAGTTTTATCTCTAACGTGTCAGCAACGACTTCCCTTTCTTCTACTCTATAGAAATATACAGGGTGTATACAGTCGAGGATCAAAAGAAGTGGGGTGGTAGCGGGAGTCATTTCAAATCAAACTAACCGTATATGTGGTTATCCAATAATTGGATAACCACATATTTTGAACCGTCAACAATTATTGTTGATGGTTCAAAAGTTATTGATGATTTTCATTTCTGTAAACAGAATTACAATAAAACTATGTCACATTTTTTTTTCTTTTACGAATTTCATCCACATGTATGCACCTTTCACCAGAAATAATTATATGACATGTATTTCTTCTTATCAATTACCTGAGAAAAATGTTGTTTTCCTTGAATTTTGACATCGAATGAAATCGATTTTTAAATGCCGCTGGCAGATTTGAAAACTACCGCACGAAAATAACCAATCATATGAAAAAGTTGCCCATTCAATACAGATTCCGGAAGGGTATGACCATATGACATATGGGGTCATCCAAAACAGCCTTTTTGTCATTAATTTTTCTCGAATGGGTCGCATTTTTCAGAAAACTTTATTAACTTTCGAACCATCAACAATTTGATAACAACATGTACCGTTATTTTGAAAACAAATGACCCCCCCACTTCTCTTGATCCATTACTTATGGGACACCTTGTATATATATAATTCTTCAAACCTCTAGTTCTAGTTCACATTCACTTTTGAGGCTGGTCTCATCTCAATATGGCGGACGAGCTTTGTAATTAGGGTCAGATTCCATTCAAAATTTGCATCTGGGGGTTTTCGGGGTTGATGAGTGTGTTTCGTTCGTAGCAAAATTGAAAACTTCGAGGTAGCAGATCCAATATATGAAGGACGAGTTTCGAATTTGTTTTCTGATTCTATTCAAAATTGGTATCTTTTGGTTTTCAAGGTCACAGATGATGATACTTTCATCAAATATGGTAAATTCAAGATAATGGATCGAATACGGCGAACAGGTCTTGTAATTATGATCCGAATCTATTCAAAATTTGTATCTGGAGGTTCTCGGAGTCAAAGATTATGATTCTTTCGTCAAAATTTGAAAATTCAAGATGACGGAACCAATATGTTGGACGAGTTACGTAATTATCATTCGTTTTAATTCGAAATTCGTTTCTGCATGTTTTCGGGGTTGGAGATTATGATTCTCTTGTCAAAATTAAAAGATGTAAGATGGCGGATCCATTCTGCTGGTTGAGTTTTGTAATTATATATGATCCGATTATATTCGGAATTGGTATCTAGGGGATTTCGGATTCAGAGACCATGATACTTTTGTCAATACTGGAAAATTGAATATGGCGGTTACAATATGGCAGACGGGTTTTATAATCATGATCCGCTTTTGTAGTGAGTCAAGTCAAAAAATAGAGATCGAATAGTTTGAAAAACTGAAGAAACACGCTTTTATGGATAGCCAAACTAAAAAGATGTAGAAAATAAAATAATAAAAGTCCGTTGATGATAACACAACATAGAAGGTACCTACTGATTATGGAGGTGCTAATATTTTATTATTTTATTGTTTATTTCTTTCTATTTCGGCTATCTATGGCAGCGTGTTCCTTCAGTAATTTGAACTCCTATCAATTTATAGTCCCAAATAGCAAGAAACTGTTTGATCACAACGTCATGAATGAGTAACTACTTCTGAATTTTTATGTAACTCATTTTGCTCATAGGTTATTGGTGATGGAGAGATCGGGCTGAATGTCATGTCAAGTTCATTATGTTTCATTACATTCATTGGCTGATAATTATCAAATTATATTCAATAATGTATGTTGAATAAATATTCGAACTCGAAATAATTTCCACGAATGTTCAAAAAATGAACAACAATGGTAGGTGACGGAAGGAAAACAACTACTTTCCTAGATAATGCCACGCAGAAAATGTAAACCAGGATAACTCTTGACATCTACAGACCCGTTTCGGGCTTTTTGGCAATCATCAGTTCGGGATAGTCACCAGTCAGCAATATTAAATATGAATGATTATTTATTGTTTCCATTCACCTGGTTTCATTCAAATTAGCCACCCTGGAATCGGTTGAAAAGTAGGTCGTCATTCTCTCAAAATCATAACCACTGAAGATGAAAAATTATCGATGGTGCGGATATAATTTTGAATTGATAGTATTCCATAATATCCTGCAAGTAGGTCCATATTACGATTGTCGATACATGAAAGTATCAATTCAGTCCACAAAATTGGATCGACAGAAAGTCCAGTAATGTCAATGCTCTCGTTCACGTATATTCAGAACCGAACACTTCGATATCCTTGGCATGGATAAGAGACCGCATGCCCATATAAATTGCCATTTTGGTAACACAGAAAAACTCTGAATATTATACGACTATTCTTCATATTATAATTAATTACATGTTAATCATGATTGATTTTAGACCGCTGTAGATAAATATGGGTGTAATAATAGTATTGATATCATTATCGAAACGTTATTTTCAACACAAGAAATTAATTCCATAGTATATCTAACGTTATTGAGGCTGTTAATATAATTGATTCAATATGTTGCTACTGATATTTTGATCCAAAGGGTCATCTCGTTATATTGATTAATTTCATCGATTATAGCTCAGTATAACAAGGTCAGTTGAAATTTATTTGAAAATGCAAACTTTAGAGTCCCATAGCTAATAACCCAATGAAGATAGAGAAAAGTTCCTGTGTGACAGTTATCTAAGAAAATATGTCGTTTCAGATTTTGAGAAAGAAGTTGAGACTGTGGGTAAAATAATGTTTAAATAAATGTCAACTATTCTCGCCGTAATAAAAATCGAGTAGGCCGGGTTTTCGTTCAATCGTTTTTAATATGAATGCAAAATGTATTCCGATCCATTGAAAATACCAACTTTAGAGTCCCATAGCTATCAACCCAATGAAGATAGAGAAAAGTTCCTGGATGAGAGTTATATAAGAAATTATGTCCTTTCAGAATATGAGAAAAACATTGTGACTGTGGATAACATAATTTTTAAATAAATCTCAACTGACCCCACAGTAATAAAAATCAAGTCAAGTTTTAGCTTCAATCGGTTTTGAATAAATGCAAAATGTATCGAATTGCTTACAAAACAATTTGTTTACTGGCCGACCTCATTTCAATTATGGCGGGGCAGTTGGGGTGTATTTGAGAATGCCAATTCTAGAATCTCATACATATCAACTTAATGAAGATTGAAAAAAGGTTGAAGCATGAAAGATGTTTGAAAAAATATATTTCTTCAGAATATGAGAAAAAATTGGTGACTGTGGGAGAAAACACCGTTTCCGACACAAATTCCGCTAGTTCGAAAAGAGTTTAAATATGTTTAAATTCGAAAAAATATACCTTACACAGCTTTCCAAATCTTCTCTGCCAAACTTTCATTTGCAGTTCTCTTTTTGATGTTATGAGACAAGGAAAGGGAAGTTTGAACCACCCTCTACATACATCGTACTAGTATATAGTAGGAGTAGTAGTAAAAGGGGAGGCGGTTGCCTAGAAAACAGCCCCCGTGAGCCATTTTTGCTGACCCCTGCTGCACACATATCTACTCTACCTTCTCCTAATTTCTTCTTTTCGAACCTTATTCGTCCGTCCACCTCAGGTTGTTTAATATATCTATCTGTTGAAGCTTATTGATACCAAAGATTTAGAATCTTAGCCTTTCATACGGCTTACACTGACCCTAGTGGTATGACAATGGACATTCTATACCGAAAAAAAGATGCAATTTGGGCACCAATGGATTTTTATCATCCTATTGATTCTCAATTTCCGATTTAATTGGCTGATGGGTACTCAAGATGAAAAAAGCCTCTAAAATATTCGTGAAAAAAAAAACAATTTGATTGGTTAATTACTGGTGTGGAATTTTAAATGAAACTCAATTGATCAATTCACAATTTCAGGCTTCATACATGATAGTTGACGAGATGCATGAGGAACATCCAGAGCTGTTGAAGGACCAGTATTGGGAGGACGTAGTACCTAAAGACCTACCGTACACAGTGGCATCAGAACACTATCGAAAGGAGGAACCCAAGGGATCAGCGGATTGTTATAAGGTCAAGACAACCGATGCAATGTACGCTAACCTCATTTCACCAAAGAAATCTCTGCTGGGGGAGGATATGTATGCTGATTATGTAAGTATTGTGGAGATATTATGTTGATTTTATGTTATCTGAACCACAGAACATCATAACTTATTGATCGTCTATGGAGTAGTCATCTGCAGTAACAATTGGAGATGTTGTGAAAAATAATGGTACTATGGCACATATTTGGTTCAACTTCGAAGATAGACATACATCCTTTCTATCGTTATTATTTAGCAGACTCCTGATATTCTAGTATGAAATTGCCCCTATCCATTTCCATAAACTGGTGAAGATCTATTTTCACTATCATCAACAATATATGTTTGCGACCATATTCTTTAGAAGTGGTCCGCTCATTATTCTTCGACATATATGTATATCGTGCCTCATTCTTCTGCTGTGAGTTATTCGAAATTCCTTTAGTCTTATCCCTCTGAAAAATTTGAAAATCAGAAATCAGTGAATAAAAATTTTTATTCATTAAAATGGACGAATTTTGTGTCGGGTAAAATATTACATTTTATTTATCGGTTTGTCTCCCGACGCGTAGTGGAGACAACACTACCTCGAGCTAAAATCGAATACTTTTTCTCTTTTACAAGCGAAATTTGCGTGTGCGAGGAGAAGCGATAGCGAAGCCGATTGGAAGCAAAATATAAGAGTCAAAAAGTATATAACCACCAATCTGAAGACTCACTTGACAGAATATTATAATGATATCAGTGAGTTGATGGAAACAAGGGCTCAGACTACTTTACTTTGTTACAATATTTGTGTTGACATGCATCATAACAACAGAGAATACCGGCACAGATTCTATACTACCATAATGCCGTGCCATATGGATACCTGTATAAATGTTTTATATATAAGTCCGCACGAAACACAATGGCCAGTGGGTAGCGTGTCGACCTGCTATGCCAAAGGTTCTGAGTTCCAATCCCGTACTGCACCAATTTCTTCCTTTTCTTTTTCAGAATGAGTAGTTCGAAAAGAGTATTGTGGAGGCATTAACAGATCAGGTTTATTTTATTTTCAAGGATGTTCGAATTGTGTTTGCGCTTCTCGTTGAATATAATGAGTACTTACCTATATTGTTTATTCTTGATGTTCTAGTACATCCTTTTTTTAGTCCTTAGGAGCTGAAGTTCAATTTAAGCTTCAAGAAACTAAACTGTTGCCTAGCAACGTATCTACCAATTTATATGTCAGTAATAGAAACAGGCAACTTTTGAGGCAGTTGCAGAAAAATTACTATTATTATCCATTATGATATTTGTGCATTCCAGGAGAGCGTAGATACACCAATTGTCGAACGAAGAAAGAGCTCCAACTGGTTTTCCCGACAGATTTCCCGAACCGGAATGGGTTCGATCAGGTCCGCATCCACGGCTTATTCTTCCGGGGGTCTCTTCAGCAGACACCGAGGGAATTCTGTGTACGCCAATCCGGAGAACGGCCAGTTACCAGGATTGGCCCCACCTAAGATGTCTATTTATGACAGACTTGTTGGAAGGAAGTCTGGAAGGAGTAGGAACTATAGGCCAAGTATGTTAATAATTTCAACTGATCAGCCATATCGATGATTCATACCCTAGTGAAGTGCACTTTACTGCCCGGTTTCGGGGTCGCAAAGTGGCACTTCAGCGCCCGTTGACTCATTATGGCCACGGGCCGTAAAGTGCACTTTACCGCCCTCTAAGTAATATCACGATGTTATGGATATTCGAGATTATTTCATTTACACCTGGCTGCACCTATGAAATTTCATGATTGATGTCACATGATATGCTATATCAGCGGCTATTTAGGAAAACGAACCTAATATAAGCGGCTATTCTGTTCGACAGCATAAGAGTGCTATGATTGTCAAAGTTTACCACTAGTGAGTTCGACATTTTATATCAGTCGCTTATAGATTGAAATGTCTCGTTTTGGGTCTTCCACTACAGAAATCAGCAGTAAATATGGAAGCGAATCAATATCAGGAAATACCAAGAAGAGTGAAGAGTCTGGAATAATTTCAGGTTTTTTGCCAGCAGAAGAACTATTAATTTTGTGCGACTCTACCCCACTCTCGTGTTCGCTAAAATCCTGGAAAATTGGGTGAAGAGTATGGTGAGGAAGTATACTTTACTAATCATAAACGCGAGATGAATCCATTTGAAGATATCGAATTCAAAGGTGCAAGGGATGCGCATAATGCAAAAAGGCAAAGCCTGCCAATATTTTTCTGAAACAAGAAAGGAACGTTCAGAAGCACTTACGCTAGATGCATTTTATTTTTATACTGTTTATGATAGGGGAAAGTTACCTATGATGGCATACTTAACTTTACATCAACATTGACACGTTATTAATAAGTTTGGGAGATGATCTGTGTGTAATTTGAATACACAATGACTTCATAATTGATCAGAACTCATAGCATTCTTCATACATTTTGAAATTTTTTGAGAAAAAAATTTAAAGGAAAATGGCGTCAATGTGCCATCATAGGCAGGTATCCACCTATGATGGCATACCTTCAATCCATGAGGTCTTCTGAGGTTAACCTATTCTTGAATTGAAATAAGTGCTTTATTATGGAAAGATTGATGTATTCAAAATAATGGTACAGTTCTTACAAAAACATAATCTTAGGAATAAATCAGAAAGTAGCATTTTCGAAACAGTCATCAGATGACAAATATTTCATAGGCAGAGTTCGCAGACGAATTGCTTTCTTCGTTTTTCGACTCCGGCACATTCGATATGGCACCAGGATTTGCACATCTGGCATGAAATCCACAATTCTCTTGATTTGGATACCATACATACCATGCCATCAAAGGAACGACTATCGTATGCCGTCATAGGAAAAGTCCACACTTCAACTTAAAAAAATCGAAATAATTTTTTGGTTACAAATTAACCTCAAAATAAACACAGTACCAAATTAAGAACATTCATCAAAAGCATGCACTGAATGGGTGTTCTCGAATAAAGTCTATTAAGAACATGACATCGAATTCATTACTGCTTGAAAATAACTTCGAGACTTACCGAAATTGTTTTATATCCACAAATATTTGTTGAACTATCCGACGCGTATGAGTGTTCGTAGACATCGATAGATCAGTAACGACCATCTGACAAACGGGTCATTTGAGCGCCAAATTCAAATGGGTTAGAAATATCGATTGTATGCCATCATATCATTTTGATTGTCTTTGTTAGCAAGCGTCAAGCACGCACGTATTTTAATCAGCTCCACAGTTAAGTCGAAGAAAGTGCATTTAAGGGAAATTAAAACAAAAAGAGTTAATGCTCATCAATTGCCAGATGTGTGAATATGTGATACGATTGAGTTGCAGAGTGCAAACAATTGTGGTGAGTGCATTTTGAGAAATTTATTTCCACAAACCCTTATCTGTATCTACCGTAAAGCCCACTATCCAGTAAAACGGTGATAAGCTGATAACGTTGGCCCAGAGTGGGAGGTACTTACACGTTGTTAAAGTGAACGGTACAAGAATTTCATACTTCACCGATATTGAACCGAACATCGAATCAATTCGATCGAACCAGTACACCGTTAGAAGGATACCTGTGCATATCTTGTTCTCGCGGAGAGAGCACGAAAACAACATAACTATTGAAGGAAATGCCGCTCACGATTGATGATATTTATACCCTGATTAAAAACGAATCGAAGGCAACAAGGGATGAAATAAGGGATCTACGCAAAGATATCACTGAGGAACTAATAAAGCTACAAACAAAAGTAGAAACCCTGGAAAAAGAAAAAGAAGTGCTTACTAACAAAGTCAAACAATTAGAAAAAAAGTCCAAAAAGTATAATATTATTATATATGGTATCCAAGATATTGAAACTGATTTGTATGTTCAAATATCTGACTTATTGCAAGAAACCCTGAAAATTGAAACTAGAAAATCTGACTTCAAAGATATTTATCGCTTAGGCAAAAAACAGGAAGGGAAAATTCGTCCAGTTTTGTGCGAAGTGGTGAACTATTACTTCAAACAAAACATCTTATCTCAAGCGAAGTCTAATTCCAACGAACTAAAGAAACACAAAATTTATTTTGGCTTAGACTACCCTGAAGAAGAATACCACAAGAGGAAGTTCATGAACGGAAAAAGAAGAGAAGCATTGGAAAATAACCAGAAAGCATTCTTCAAAAACAATCTATTGATCATAGACGGAGTGTCGTATACTTTCGAGGACCTTAATAACAAACCAAATAATGAGAATCTAACCCAAAACAAATATTCAAACGATCACGTGGAGTTACTTTCTCAAGATTCTGACATATTGTATGAAAGAATCGAGGAAAAAAAGCGGAAGCAAGACAGTGAAGAGCGAAGCGAATATGCGAAAATAGCCAGGATGACCCGTTCGCAATTGAAAAATTACTGAAATACTACTAATTCTTCCGAGTATTATTCCCTTATTTACGATATATATATAATCTTATAGTTATTAGTCTCTATAATCAATATTATTAGTTTTTTTTTTCTATCATTGTTTTGTTCGCGCTTATGATCGATAATTAAATATATAAAATATGGAAGATTATATAAGACACTATCATCATTTGCATATAGATACAATTACTGTAGATACAATCACAGAATGCACAAGACTACTTAATGATACTAATCTTCGATCAACTCTCAACATATTTCATTGTAATATTAGAAGTCTTTCAAAGAACTTCAACGAGTTAGAAATTTTAATAGATACACTTAAATGTACGTTTGACTGTATTATATTAACAGAATCTTTCGAATTACATGATAGGGATAGTTTCAGCATAAAAGGGTACAATATGATATACTCACAGGGTGACTATAATAAGAATGATGGAATTGTTATATATGTAAAAAATAATATTATTTTCAACTACAGAATCATATTGCTCAACGGCATAAAAAACATCGAATTAACTTTTACACACAATAATAAAATCCACAAAATATTAGCAATTTATAGATCTCCTTCAACCTGTCCGGACGATTTCAACTTGGCTCTAAATGACTACCTGACACAAAATAACTCTGTCTCTCATGATATTCAAGCAATAATTGGTGACATAAATATTGATCTTATAGGTGATGATAACTATTGTGAAGATTATCTAAATATTCTACATGAGCACAACTATTTACCAATGATTAATACTGTGACACGTGTGCAAGGAGATAGTCGCAGTTGCTTGGACCATATTTTTGTGAAGACGAAAGAAAGTTATGATAAGTTCAAACCAATAGTCCTACAGTATCCCTTAACAGATCATTTCCCAGAGATACTTCAGATCGTCGATATACCTGAAAATACAGAAATATGTCAGTCTTACAGATACAAAACTTATATTAGATATAACGAACTGAATAATATCCTGCGGTTAGAAAACTGGCAAGTCGTATACGATACAAATGACGTGGATAAAGCTACTGAGTCATTCGTTACAACTTTACAGCATTATATAAAAAAATGTAGTAAAACAATTCGAATCAACCGAAGGGACTTGAAAAGAAATCCGTGGATAACAGATGGGCTGGTAAAATCTGTAAATAAAAAAAACGCAATGTATAAAAATGTTCATAAGAATCCCAACAATGAAATATTATTGAATGAATTCAAGAGGTATAGAAATACTCTACACAAACTCCTGGACGAAGCCAAATGCAATTATTATAAAAATGAAATTAGCAAGAATAAAAATTCCCCAAAAAACTTGTGGCGCTCTGTCAAACGAATAAATAAAAATGAACAGGATGTAGCTGTAAATCGAATAAATTCGAATGGTAAAGAAATTTGCGACAGACGTGAAATTGCAGAAAACTTCAATGATTTCTTCAGCAACATCGGCTCTAAATTAGCAGAGAAAATTGTGAAACCTCAAAGGACTTTTGGCGAAAGGAGATTACAAAATTCAATATTTTTATGTGAAACTTCCCCAGTCGAGATCAGGCAAATAATAATGAGTTTGAAAGCTAACAAGGCTCCAGGCCTGGACAATATTGGTGTCGATACATTGAAAACATGTGTAGACTCCCTAATAGGCCCAATTACCAATATTGTAAATAAAATGTTAGAAACAGGTACTTTTCCTTCTGTTTTGGAAATTGCAGTTATTAAGCCTCTCTACAAGTCTGGTGATAGGCTAACAGTGTCCAACTACAGGCCAATCTCACTACTATCTAATATTAGTAAAATATTCGAAAAAATATTGAAAATAAGAATTATTAATTATCTTAAAAAATATGACATAATATCGAAACATCAATATGGATTTATGGAGGGGAGGTCGACACAGGATGCAATTGCAGACTTGGCAGCAAAGATTTATAAAGCGATTGATGCAAAAGAGCCAGCAATTTGTATCTTCGTCGACCTCGCCAAGGCGTTCGATACTGTTAGCCACCCAGACTTGTTAGACACACTCGAAAACTTGGGCTTCAGAGGCAACGCATACAGACTTATGAAAAGCTATCTCAGTGGAAGAGAACAATGTGTAAAAATCAGTGACGTCTTGAGCAGTAAAAAAAAAATTCAATACGGTGTTCCCCAAGGAACTGTCCTCGGACCCGTACTTTTCATTATATATGTGAATTCTCTTTTCGACTTACCTATAGCAGCCGAAATCACAAGTTTTGCTGATGATACTGCCATCTTCTTCAAAGATAAAAACTGGGATACACTAAAACAAAAAATTCAAAATTCGGTGCCCATCATGTTAGATTTCTTTAGAGACAAATTACTCACCATGAATATGGAAAAAACTATTTATCTTCCCTTCACTAGTTATGAAACAAACTTACCAGATTACTCAAGTATCGATTTATTGCATAATAACGTACACATCCAGTTGAAAGGTGTAGAAAATGTTAAATACTTGGGTATAATATTGGACAATCACCTAAAATGGGACTCTCAAGTTAAGAACGTAACTAGAAAAATCCGATATTTCATTTCAAAATTCAAAATCTTCAGAAAAATATTCGAACTCAGCCACTTGAAAATCATGTATTATTCGCTCATACAAACACATTTACTTTATGGAATCATTGCTTGGGGGGGTGTCACCAATGTATATCTGAAAAAACTTGAAAAAATGCAGAAATGGATTTTGAAAATCATGCTAAATAAGAACCTCACTTATCCAACCAACGACTTATTCAAGGAAGCTGAGGTGATGGATATTCGACAAATTTACTTTCTAGCGTTAGTATCATATCAAAAGAAAAACCTGCAGAGTTGCGAATTAGTACAACATGGACACAACACTAGACTTGCGGTAAAAGATACTTTGAAGGTCCCGAAAATGATGAAAACTATCGGCCAAAGAAGCTTCGTTTATCTTGCCCCTAAAGTATATAATACAGTACCAACTGATATAAAAACATTTCATTCATTCCCAATATTCAAAAACAAAATGAAAAACTGGATATTAAAAACCCCGAGACTGATGATTCATGATCATATTGATTTGAAGAATAGCTGATCAATTATTTATCACAAGATCTGTTTTATAATAGAGTCAAACCGAGAAATAATAATATATCGAATCATAACTAACTCTGTGTTATCTTATCTTGCCCCTCACGTTTTTATATTATCATTGTTGTTTTTATTGTAATTATCGTAATTTTTACTATTATTATTATTGTGATACTTTCGGTATTATTATATTTTCATCATTATCAGGTGTACTAGCACTTTTATTGTAATATCTTTCTATGTTTGTTTTATATTTTTTATCTATCACTGCTCATCAGTGCTCTATATAATGCTATACATCATTCGTCTCTGGATAGTGTCAGCGCTCTTATTGAAGAAGTTAATAAAAGTGCTGAAATGTGCGTGTTCGTTGTTTTGACTGTATTAATAAGGTTAAACAATATCTGCTTTTCCCACGCTCAGGTTTCCTTTGTGGGATTTCGCTAATATTTATTTACCTAACCTACAGGATTGGAACTCGATACATTTCATGATAATATTATATATCAGAGTACATATACTCTGTGCGCAATTATGTTAACTGTGTTTTGTTTTCTTGTTTTTTGTTTCTTTTGTTCTTCTCTCCTTTTTTCGAATTATGTAATTATGTGAAATATGTCTGAAAAATGGTGAATAAATATTATTATTATTATTATTATTATTATTATAGAAAACATGCCATCATAGGTAACTTTCCCCTATATTTGGTAATATAAAAATTGACTTGAAAATGATACCATCTTGGCCACAAATTCATAAGCTGACTATAGTTATTTCCATAACTAATATTTTCTATTGGCTGATGAAGGGCTTATATAAGCTTGAAACATGTTCCTTTGAGATTGGTCTTCGATCATTCTAATAAATGTTGTGTAGATGACTTTGGGTTTTCATCTATGTATTGAATAGTTTGTCAACTTCAATATCATTAATTTTCAGTTGACCTATAGAGGAATCTTCCTGTAGAAGTTACAACGATTAAACTTCGTTTCTAAGTGATCGATTCGTTGCTATCCATTGAATGATCGCCTCACCGGTCAAATCAACTCTTCAGATTTTAATACCGGGTAAATCGAAAAATCAAAGAATCGAAACTTGCCATTGAATAACTAACACCCTGTATTAGTTTTCGCGTTCAATTTTCGTATGGGAATATCTCAGCTATGCCTGAATCGAATGAACTAGTCAGAGTTGCAGAAAAAAGCCTTATAGTTGTTTCTGGAATATTGATCCATTAGATAAACAATTATATTTTGAATATCTGAATATTTCGAATTTGTTCACATTCTCGTTGAGTACTATATTATAGATTTTTTTGCTGTAAGTCGGTCGACGGGTTCCGAATTAGAAGGGTGTTGCGAGTTGACATCGCACACACTGTATATTTGTACAATTTCACAGTTTCATTTGATTTCGGTTACATTTCCATACCCGATATTTACCAGACCTGTATAATGAGATAGTATTTGTCGTATTTTGGAATAAACGATTTCTCGTTAATGCATATCTGTTCTGTTTTGTTTTTTGATTATTTCCAATATTTTGATATTGTTGACATCACCAATTTCTAACTATCTTGAAAACTAGGTGTCATTTATTGTCTAAGAAATTTGAGCATAGTCTGCATAGTACACCCTCGTTGTGAGAACAACTGGTTCTATGTCCGTAATTATTTTCTCAGACATTTCAATCCTGTTATTCTGTTTCTGTGATTTGGACCGTGTTTCTGATTCTCCCGTTAGAAATAATGAAATTGTTTGAATATATAATTTTCCAGATCCATAATAAGAATACCAGTAACGTTTTCTGACAGAGATTCGTTTCGGTCTATGCCAAATGCCTTTGCTCAGAGATAAACTTGAAGAACTGTTAATACTCAATTATAACTCTAGCAACTCGTATTCCAGGCTGAACAAAGGGTTGGTAATTGAAGCCTTAGTTCTCTTGGCCCTTGATTGAGGTCTGATCAATAACATTGACCCCTACTCCACTGTACTCTTGTCCCTTTCATCACTGTTGCTGCTTATGCCTCCTCGTAAACCCAGATTGAAGTAGTAGGTGGGGTGAATCACCTTCATAAAAAATCTGGCACCCGAGTCATCCAAAACAGGTACCAGAAGTCCTTGTTCGAAAAGCGCCAAAACATTGTCGTTCTAGATGACAACCTAGTAAGTCCGTAGGCAAAAGCTATAACACCTCCTGGCGTACTAGGTCGCCTACTAGGTCGCCTACTAGGTTTCCATTCAGATCGACAATGGCCAAAGTAAGAGCACCCACAAATATAGGACCTCAGAACTTTTCAAAATATATATTTGTTAGCTAATGCATATGATATCAATTAGGTGAATCTGCTAACGGTAAAGAGAACGTAGAGACTTCACAACAATCTTATGTGACCATAATTTCCAGGTACCAAGTTCAGTGGTCCAGCACCAATGCAAGTGAAAAATAGACCAAGGATACCAACCCCTGATGTTACTAAGGAAGTTGTCGACAGAGAGAATAGGTTGGCAGCTAGCGTTGCCAACGCTGTACACAGCCAGATGGCTGCAGGACTAACCTTGATGCCCCACCAAATCTCTGGTAGCTATCCTTCTTATTCGGCAGGAGATGGACCAGTTGTTCAGGTGAGGAAACGTTCATCTATCAGTATATATTCATATAGTTCAACTGCTTGTAATGAAATTGGGGAAATTTACCAACAATAAGTCAGTTATCAATCCCAGTATCACTTTGAGTCTCAGTTATCTGCAATCAACAATCTGTCAACGATAGGGTTGCGAAATTGTAATTTATCCTTGATTATTCAAGGATATGCATGATGAAAAATGAAATGTTGCTCCTGAGATAATTAGTCACTGTGTATCTATTCGTTCTCTTGGCGTTATCGAAATCATGAATCATGTACAGAATTCCTAGCAGCAGTAATATCAATAAACGTCAGAAACGTGAAACGACTGATGGTTTAATTTGAAATACAACCATGGTGTCGCAGCACTGGTAGCAAGATAATGAAGTAATAGGCTTGTCTATTCATTAAAGATGGTAAATTCAAGTTTGCTGCAGTTGAATATTGAAGTTACCACCGTAGTGTCACATACCACTCAATAATTTGTTCTGTAAGTTGGCTGTGACTTGGAGCTTTGGCTGATGAACAAACGTGACGACGTTTCGCTTCTAGATCTCCAAATCTCTAGAACAATAAGATTTATAGTATCAAAGGCAACTCTCACTACATTCAAGATACACATCTCTGAATTTTTCTACTCCAACATTTATTTTGGATGAAGGTATAGTACCTGGCAGTCTCAATTTTTTTATATTGCTCCTGATTCCACCTATTATTATGACGTAGTAAAATTAGGCGTATTATATCAGGAAATCAGGATAAACAGCGTTGAATTCAATTATAAAGTCATGAATTCTCATCAACTTTCCTTCTATGGCTTATTGGGAGGTGATTTCCTTAAACGCAAAAATGATCAAATGGAAACTGGAGTGAATTGAAGGAATAACTTGATCAGGACATTCATCCTTGAAAGAAGCTCAATGATCTGATCAATGACTCAACATCGATTTGATGAGTTGGTCAATTTAGATTTGCGATGTTTCCTCCTGAAACTTCGACCTTGAACTGAATTGTGAGAACTAAACAGGTAGGAGTAGTTTGCTATGTATGTGACCTGCATGTCTCAATTTATCACTCTTATATTGTTCAAATCCTTTGGGATTCCATTCTTTTTCATTTGCACAAGTCGCACCTTTCAAGATTCAAATCTTATACAATTATTCCATCAATTCTATCGAAGTCTATCTCATTCTGAAGTGACAATGAATACGAAATAGAAGAAATACTGTGTAACATCAATTTCATGAAACATATGAATTGTCGCAATAGTTCTTCTGAAGCATTATTGTTTCACTCTGCTCGTCATATACTCCGAAATGGCAACTTGAAAACAAAATAATAAATGAACAAACAATGTTAGATGCTGGGAGGAAAGCAACGAGCATTTTGGCTATTTTGTAGTTAAAATAATGTCAGTCAGTTAATTAGCCACTTCCATTTCCAACCAAGATGGGAATTGCAATTTTGAAATGTTTCTTTCCTTCTGCTCTGGAAGGCGTTATTCCATGATGCCCTTGGAGAACGTGTCTAAGCGTCTAAGCGTCTAACTATGCCAATTGGATTTTTGTTAGGTCAGATTTCACTTAGCTGGCGGTATCACTGCTGGCTGGTGACTACCCTACCAAGATGAGGGCCAGAAACCAGAAATCGAAACCGGTCTGTAGGTGTCAAGGGATAATCTGGCTAGAATCTGAAAACAATAATTCGGCATCAGTATTCGTTTTCACGAAACGATACATTTATTTCGAAATGATTCAATTCTATCTCCTGCGTGGCATCATCTATTCATCATACGCGGGTTCTCCCTTTTTTGATATGAAATATATCACAAACACATACTATTATATCAAATATACACTGAAGATAGACGATTGAAGTAGTTGCACAGTAATAGATGAACTACTAATCTTTTTACACTAGTTTTGAATGAATTTGATGTTTGTCTTGTGAATTCTAGACCTCTACTGCAATTGTTTTTGGATGTATGACAATTTGATATTCATCATACAGGACGTGGAAAGAAATTCTGGATTGAGGAAACCTAATCACAAACCTGCTATTTAAGGTCTATAAAAATAACAAGTTTCTATCGTTCAAGTTTGAACCACTTGATTGGGTAGGTGTATTGAAAAGGAATATTCTCAGATAAATTATGAACATAAAGAATGGTTATATATATATATATATATAGAGAGAACTGGCTCTGATATGATTAAGTAGTTTTTCTCCCGGCATCATTGTTTTTCGTTTGTGAAATTGACTTGTTTTTTTATAAACAATTCTTTCCAATTTGTACATTTAGGCTATGCCGCATTTGAAATAAAAAATTTCTAATATCCATTCGTGGCAGGTGGTTCTGTCACCGATCCAAGAACTCGACGGCAGCGGCTCCGTCAACAACACCTTGCACGCCAACCAACCGGGCACTGCAGCACTAGCACAAGCCATCCTATCACCCGGGCTAGGTCCGGTCCTGGCCACACCGGTCAGCGTACCCATGACCGTGTCACAGCTTACGTCACTAGGCCTCGCGTCGCACAGCAACAGTCCTTTGTTGACTCGGGCGTTCGACCACGCTTCGATCAGGAATCCCGCGTTCATACAGGTCAGTATCAAGGAGGCGGGCTCGGAAAGTGAATGAAAGGGGCCCAGTGGGGTATAGCTGGCGTTAGATATTGAGGGGGGAAATGGGGACCGTATAGTTCCATCCTGCCAGCGATATATCATATAGGTAGTGCATGATTTCGAGTGACTTCGGGAATAGGCATGGACACAAATGCGTTAATTCAATTCAAATGTGCATTTTATTGAAATGAAGTAGTAACACATCATGGATGCATCAACTTTTTAGTGAAATATGCTGTAATATTTCAAAACACACAATTTTATCACATTACAAGTTTATGGAACGTTCGAACAGCGTCCGGCGGCGCTAGTAGTGACGTGATAAACCCTTTTTTTGTGTTGCTAGCTGTTTCATATCAAGTAAATATTTCTAAATTTAGAATCGATGCTAATATGAACTGGTGAGATAATATGATATTCATTGATGAAGTGAATGTCATCAATATATTATGTGGGTATGGTATATATTGTTTCCCTCATTTCCAATTTTCCAAGTTTAGAGCTGAAATGATTAGTAATCGAGTAGGTTGTTACACGTTGTACTACTACTCAATTATTCGACATAGGTTTATGAAACAATCTAATTGAACTATTTTGATATACTTTTCAATGAAGCTAGAATGCTGGTAACATCACTTCAATATCTATGTCATAACATGCCACAATATACAGTGTATAGGAGAAAAAGAACAAGTGAGTTTTGAATTGTCTTGCTCAGTTGATATATGCTATTGTTGAAATCAGTTAAATCTTGGGAACGATAAATGTTAAAACATCCAAAGAAGTACAAAATTGGTTGAAACGGCAACGCTGTTCATCTTATCGATTTTTTCTCGTATAACAATAGGCGGTCGACGCCTTATAGAACTTTGAGAAATCTAGAAGGAATAAAAATTGAAAAAAAATCTATGAACTTTATGTTATGAACGTCATAGTATTTTTACTAGAAATTATTTTTTTACCTCTTGAGAAGATTCTGTTGCCGTTGGCTCAATTGAGCATGTAACCCAGAGGTTGTGAGTTCGAATCTCAAGCGGAGAGGTGGAGTTTTTACATTGTCCGTTATCACTCGAAATCAGGGCTCTTCATCATCTTCATCGTCATATATGTATCTCTTGGGCTGAGTAACCGACAAAAGTTATGAATCACTTCAATGTGTATATATTGCTTTCCGTGTACAAGGAAAGACAATGGCAGAGGACGAACAGGAGAAAATGGAGACTGTATTGTTCCATCCTGCCATCGATACTCCATATATAGAATTGGGAGGATTCTGCCGCCTGATGGCACTCGACTTCTCTGCCGATTGATCGACGGGTGTCCTATTAGCTCAATTGGCAGAGTGTTGGGCATGTAACCTAGAGGTTCTGAATTCGACTCTCACGCGTGGCGGTGAATTTTTTGATTTCCGTTGTCACTCTGAATTAGGGCTTTCCATCATTATAGACTGGCGGGTAGTGGAAGATTTTTTGCAACGTTATTTCATGGTATGCAACTTTCGAGTGAGCTTCACCATTCATATTTGGATTTGCATTATGAAGGGATGAATTCGAACGATTAGTAAATGCATGCAGAATGGTTCTTGTTAAAATTTGAAAAAAAAAATGATACCACGGAAAAAAATGGAATACTCTTATTCCCTCGTGTAGGGAGGCCCTGAACTATTAACTGAAAATGTTATGGAGAGGAGGGTATTTTTTAACAATTATTCAACGTATGCTTTCTCGCAGACGTATTGTCGGAACACAGAAAGTTCTAGTAGATTATAGGGCATTATTGAGAAGAAACTGCGCCTCCACCACGTGTCACAACTCAGATGTTGACCCTCCTATAGGTCGTGACTCAGCTACTCGCTTGGCTTTCTGACAAGTGGCTTTGATAATTTCACCATCCAACCATATTCATCCCCAAATAAAGAGACCGGACAGTTTTATATATAGTTAATAAATGCTACCACATGGCAGGTTAGCAAAGGAACTAAAACAACGCAAAACAACACTTGAAAAAAACAGTACTTACATTATAACGTCTAGCGGGGGGTTGACCAGCAGGCTTGAAGTTGAGGAGACGGCGAACATTTTCAAATGATGACCACTAAAAATGACTTGTGTCGATAATGAATGATTGCCTCATTGATTCCGGTACTATTTATATTCCGAATCGATGCTAGGTTCGCAATTTTCCACAATGGGAACGGTCGTTAACTTTCGATATCGTTTTCCTAGGTATTATCGCCGCGGTAAGCGATTTCTTTGCAAATTATAAGGGAAATGATGTCTATGATCTACGCTGGCCTGATCGAACCACAATGTACTGAATGTTTCAATTTGGAAGAGTTAATTAATGATAAAAGATCTTGAAACAAACGAGAATTTGAGTGCTGTTAATTCATAGGCATTTATACTTCTTGGCAGTATTTTTGGTCTTACTCGTATCACGATAAATTACTTTGCATACAATTGTGGCGTGCACATGCCCTATATAGAAAATTTTCAAACATGCACTGTTTTTTTTTCAACACTACTACTAATATTACTGATTACTTCGATCAATAGTAGTTCCTTTATTGAATAGAGACGGATCATTATTTCGTGAACTATAAATTTCATCATGGAAATTCAGATGAATTCTTGAAACATAAAAACCAAATCCTCCAGCTCTATAGGAGTTTGTGAGTCTGAGAATCAGAACAAAGTCAAACTTGCCTAGGAGAACTCCCACTTCAATGGTCTATTGTACAAGAAAATCACAGCAGAAATAACAGGTACCATTAGAATGCTGGAATTGTTAACACTTTCTGAGGAAGATTAGTGAAAATATGTTTGGATTAAGCAAGTATACCTACTATCTTCATTTCCTGTATTACATCTTAGCTCCCTGTGAAAGGGCTAGAAATTTTGGCAACTGTACACGATATGTAGTTGAAATGAGTGTTGAACTAAAAAGTCTACTTCAGCTCAGATAATGACAACTGTTCGTTCTATTTCCTACCTACAACTGTATAAGCTAATGAGATGAGTAAGCAGGTGATAACAGAACCAAAATATGCACTTTGGACACTTATATTGTATTTGTCTATCAATGACCCATTCTACCCATCAATAATAACATTTACCTTCGATTATTAGAATCACTCGATTTTCTGCAGGCATTCCAACCAGAAAAACCGATTCCACCAACCGAGCCTCTTACCCTTACCGAGGTTCACACTGAAGAGGAATCACCTTCCAGTCGAAGCAGCAATGGTTCAGAAGCATCGCACGCTTCCAAGGACTCCATATCCACAAACACGACAGCTTCTGTCAGCTCCAAGAAGTCTTCGGAGGTACCGTCGACTGAAGATATCATCAGAGACTCGTTTGAGATGACATCCACACCGCCAGTTCTATCTGTATTGACACCCAATTCAGAGAACCAAATTAGCACCAGTGATAATGCTGTTACCCCGATAGCCTCTGCTGCGACCTCTTTGGTGTCTGTTGGAGGTAGTAGCGCTGACAAGCTCAGGAAAGTTTCTTCCGTATCTCAGAGTGCACCTGACAGTAATACGTCCAAGCGAGAGGTCTATGTTTGATAAACATTAGCTGTTTTGAAGTGATTTTGGTGGTGCTATAGAGCAATAGTTCGAATGTAAGGGAATCATTTTGATATATTGTACAATGATTATAGTTATTTGATCTTGACTATCTCCACGAACTCGATTTTCAATTATGGCGTTGATGATGAACAATTCTGATTGATCGAAACTACAGGACATTGGCAGAGAAGGTACCTACTTAGTAGGTAACGGAAACAGTAGATGCTATGATGACACCTGCTGAGCAAAAATGTTTACCACATTATAGGTTCCAGAACTAACGAAAGTTCTGTTATTTCAATCTTAACAGTTACATCTTACCATTATTGACTGAACAAATTCCACTTCCTATATTGCAAATTAGGAAATTGAATCCATGAACATAAACACAGTTTTTTCAGTAGTGTTTCTTGACTATTTTACTCATTCGAAAATTTCCACATGATTGACAAGTCACAAGCCAAAGACAACTTGTTTTATCGCGAAATCAATAGCACTCTTTCAATTCTGATTCGTCTATCAGCGTTGGTGTTTTCAATGATGTAACCATGGAGATCGAAGCAAAGTCTGCCAGTGTGACATGAAATTATTATAGTATGTGTTGTCAGAATGATTCGCTTTTGTTATATGTCATAGGATGAAATTTGGTCGACAGACAACAGGCTATCACTGTTCCATTTATAATAATGATTATTGTAATATCCTATTCTGTAATCGTATTTGATCGAAGTGATATTCCTTGTGGCGGTGATATGTGATATTTTTTATGATTTGGTACCTATCAATTTCATATGGTAGGTTTTGAATGCCATGTAAATGAACTATTTCAACTAGGGTGTATCAACTAGCTAGGATACGATATGATAAAAAAGTGGTATGTTGATTCAAACAGGATTCAAGAAGAAATTGTTACAGTTACATTTTACTTCAACTATTTTATGATCTTTTTATAGTCTATCTTTAACAAAATATCTGAAACAAAATTGTCAAAAATTCATTGATTTCAAGTGATCGTGCCTTTAATTTGTGTATATAGAGAAATATTTATTATTATTAGGTACCTATGAACTAAATATATGCTTAGAGCTGATATTGCAGAACTTTCCACTGGTTCAGTGGTTTTGCATATTCAAATCGTTCTTAACACGATTTAGACCAATTGTGAATATATGTATATATTTTTAATTATACCTATACCTGCCCATGAGAACATGATTATGTATTATTGAATAAGGGTTAAATAAATGGTTGAATATATGAGTATAGTTGTTGAATGGTTTTTACGGACAATCTTCGAGACTCAAAATGATAGAAATCTCTATATAAACCTCTTCTGTGGCAAATTTATCATTATAACTGGATTGAAAATCAGTGCTTATGCAGGAGAATTGAAGAAGCAGGAGGACCCATTGAGTAGTTTCGTTCACGATAGATCTTCATTGATATATCGAAGCGACGAAAAGTTTATTATCCCGAATTCAAATATTTCTCTTCGTCAGAATATTCATTGTTATATTCTACCAAGGCAATATCCGTATTCTATGACACTGCAGTAACGTATCGATTATGCCTAAAGATTACGTCGATGTGACGTACCAATTTGGAGGTGTTCCTTTTAAGATATTTGATTGCCTATTGAGTGACAAAGAATCAATACATACATATACGTTTTTTAACAAAGTGAACCTGCATAAGCCAACATTCCTTGCAATGCTATCAAACTTCCAGGCTCACGTCTTCTTATATTTTTATTATATACAGCTTCAACTTTAACGAGGTAAAAAACTTCGATGTGTCTTTAGCCCGTTTTCGACTAAAATCTTGCTACATTACTGAAATTTTTGCAAAATGTTCACTCATAATACCTCGAGAGCTGTAATTATTAGAATTGCTCGGTTTTCAATCGAAGCGGTGTATTGGTATTCGGCGAGAAAATTTCTCACTGAATACTTGATGGACAGTTTGCTCAATGTTTTCGACCGACGAGGGATATGGAACTGCAAGGTTATTCAGACGACCTTGTCATTATGGCAAGCTTTTCTATGCACTAGCGGGCGGCAAAGTGCACTTTATCGCCCAGATTTGCGGTCGTAAAAAGGAACTTTACCGCCCGCGGGCCCAATATCGCCCACGGGACATAAAGTGCACTTTACCGCCCGCTCAAGTCCCTTATATCCACACATTCATTTGTGGAATACCTATAATTGAACTCTAAGATAATTCTATCGTTATGATTATGATACATGTTATTGTTCATCCGATTCCATCTTCGCTTAAACTTCATTCTTTGAAGACAACGTCAAATCATAAGCTATATACTGGGTATACATATTGTTACATCCCAAGGAATGAATCCTCTGTTAGTGAAAAAAGAGTTTTAATCTTACGATAATTGCGATATTTGTACGGTAATTTCAATAATTATGTAGATTATACACATAAACATTGCGCTCCTCTTGAAAACTGAATTTTTGAGTAACATATAAATTGTTTGTTGAATTCTAGTCATTACTTGTGACTCGAGAAATGAACTACTAGTGCGTAAAATGCGTTCATAGCCTTCGGTGTGTAATGGCCCTCGGCTGACACCATCGGGCCATTATTCACGCCGCAGGCCATAAACGCCTACTTCACAATTAAAATATTAGTCTAGACGGTATTGAACTGACAAAAAGACTCTCCGCGATGAGAGACTTAATAAATTGTGTCTGGTCTTGATTCCTGGTCACTCTGGTATGGAAAGTGATGAAAATACGAAATAACTAAATGAGTAGTAGAAGGAAACGTAAATGGGGCTTCTGAATCTCATAAGAAGTCAAAACTTTGGTAACAAAAGCACATAAGACATTTTTCCCCAGAAAAATGGAGAACTATAAAATGCACACATTCATTACCTCTCAATAGTTTCTTGCTCTGCCTGAATATAATGAAGTTAACGAAAAAATTATCATTGATCGAGTTAATCAAATTTAAATCGTTTTTCGTGTCTACTGTGAAATTTATCGAAATGGACTCATGGGGTTCTGCATTTTGACCATCGATGTACTTTGTTTCTGCCCAGTCGCAGCTTGAATTAGGTTTTCACTGTTCGGCAGGGTTTCAATCTCGCCCTCGGTCCTGAAAGATTACTCACAAAGTAAATTAATCGGCTTCGTTGAGAAGCTGAATCTACTCGGTGAAGTATGAATTGGTGTGAGCCACAATTGACCCTTTCCTGGTAGCAGTGGATGGCTGAATATACCCACTCACTTGTAGCCTAACGTTACACCTAACACACTCTAAAATCATCTCATTCAATTCAATATTCTCCATTTTCATCTAGACAAATTCCCGTCCAACGTTCAAGATCGACAAATGAGTGCAAAACAAGATGACAAAAGATGTATACATAATCAGAAACAATAGCATAATCATTAGCTTACCGTTATAGGCTATATTCGAAGCTTACGGGACGCAGTGAAGGGCTGAATAGATCTACTAACTTGTAACCTAACCCAACCTTACCTACTTCAAAATCGTCTCATTCAATATTCTCCTTTTTTATCAAGGCAAATTCTTGCCCAACAAGTGAGGATCGGCAAACGAGTACAAAACAAAATGACAAACAATGTAGACATAATACCTACCATTATCATTACTCATCAGCTCACCTTTGTATGAAGCTTCCGGCTACCAGAATGCTAAAAATCAGGACAACAATCAAAATCAGCTTCCTCAATTCAGAGATATTCCTTTATTTTGTGAACGGAAAAACATATTTTGTTATTTGTCTCCTATAAAGTTCCAATTCTTCATGAAAAATAATGGGAAGGTTATGCATCAAACGATTTGGTTACTCAGCTGAAGGATATGTTCTAATCCGTTTATTATCAGATGGATGATCAATTACTCGAAACGAAGAAAGGGATCTGGACCTTATCCAATACACTTGAGAGTATGTGATGACTTCGATGGATTTACTTCTAAGGGATAGAACTGCAGGTTGTCTGATTATTGGAATAAATAATGAGCAGTAAATGTCAGTCAAAGTAAAGATTTTACAGAATTTAACTAATCATCGTCTGTTGAATAAGTTTCGAGGATTAACATTTTGTGACACCTAACGGTAGAAGTGAATTTTATGTTTGTAGAGTACCATCATAATAGTGGTTGTTCAAATAATTTTTCCGTTTGCCGCTCTCTGCTAATGGTATTTGAAGACATTGAAACGACCGACTGTATAGTTCGACCTCTATAAGTAGGAGGCGGCAAATCATCCTATTGATTTGATTTGATTTGATTTCCAACGGTCACTTCGATTAGGATCATTCATGAACTCTCTTGAACATTACTAAAAGAAAAGTGTTGTGGAATACCGGGCTACATACCTAATGAGGACCTCTTCATTCAAACTAAGCCCAGTTTTTTCTTTTTGTTCGAAAATGAGAAGCACATGAATGCAATGGCTTGTTTGGTTGGTTTTTCGCCGATGAGATGTGTAAATTCTACCAGAAAAGTTTAACGGTATCAAGAGAAGCTTGGCGAAACTCGCCCATTCTGCAGTCATTTCATCTTTTTTTGGAAGGCGCAAAACAGAATATCGTTCTCGGAGGTGGACGGGTGGGTACTTTGGTATATCAAGTTTAATAATTGACGGAGTTCATACACGGTCCGCGATATTTTGACATGAAGTTCAAGCGAAATCGAAATAAACATTCATTTACTTTTACTTACACAATACACGAGACCAAAAAATCGAAGTACTTATATACGAATAGCAACTCTTAAAATCAAATCCACGAGAGAATGACTTGACAATATCTCCATTACAAGATGAACAGATGTATGTTATAATTAATTGTATTTTTTGATTACCTATCATTTATAAATACATACCAATTCGGGATGTGACGCAGTGGGAAATATCCACGGTAGATCTGCACTAATTATCATGCGATGGTTTTTTTTCGAAAATTCTTTCTGGTCCTTACGTATTTTTTCCTGAAAAACACGAATTTGATGATGAAAATGTGGACAAACCACTATTTATCGAGATATTTCGAGAAAAAGTTCGATATTTTGCATCCTTTTTCCCCATGCATCCGACAGCATTTGTACAGTTACTTGCTCTTCTTATTTTGTCATTGAACACTTCATATACTCATGATGTACTCCAATGACACATTTTCATATAGATTTTCATATTTAGTGAGCAATCATACCAGATGACGGCCATTTAATCAATTCGCGAAAATAACGAACCAATAGATGGCTCTATTATATGTCAAAATCCAAGGTCAAATCAACGTCAAATTTCCAACTGAGTATGAACAACAAAAACATTGCCGTATGCACTCATTGCAAATTGGTTATTTTCAAATCATTTTGCAAAATAGTGAATAATAAGTTGACTTCTTGAAATACGTACAAGGTTTCCAGTATGGAAAAAAACACTTTTTGTGTAGAGAAATTGCCATTTTGATGTGGACAATGGTGGTATTCATCATTGATATCACACTACAATCCCACAGTTTTCAAACATATGGAATGATCGGAATGGTCCACTCAACACTTGCATGGACTGGAATGGAACCATACAAGCAATCAGCTATTACAACAATATGGTATAGGTATGAAGAAATAATTGAATTCATCAAGAAATATCACTGGCTTTTATGAAGGAGATGGAATTCTAGTGAAGGGGTTGGGAAAGAAGATATGGTTGGAGAGGCTGCTCAGAATGAACAATATCATCGATTTACATAAACAAGGATCTCCAGCAATTGAGGACTTGAAGTTATTCTCAAGATCGAATCATTGCAACCAACATTCATACAATGATTCTAATTGTGCTTCAGAAAATGTATATTATATTATTATGAGGTAGGTACTGGTTTCTTCATTGTAAACAATAAAAGTTCATGCAATAATACGAGTTTTTTCATCAGGGAGAAATGAGGTTCTGGAATATGCACATCAACAAATAAATTATTTTCAAATAAAACACATATTTATGAAATTCAAAACAATGGTCACCATATTTGCTGTTCATACTCGCAAGACTTGTACAGTTAGCCACCAGAGGCCGCACACTTTGTGATTTTCGCGAATAGTCAATCCAAATACGAGATGTCAAATGTCAACAGATTGCTCTTGAATGACATTTCACACGCCATTATATTAAATGATTCTTACTTCTTTCCACTAAATATGGATATATAAGTCGCAAGGAAATCATATTTCTAGTTGACTCACATAATATGAAAAATGTTTCATTGAAGTACAT